GCTCAAGTCCAACGTCTTCCGTTCACCTCGCATCGTACCTCCTCGACACAAACCGACGCGCCCTCCAAAGCCTGACCCTGGTGTAGGTGACTTGTGGTTGCGAACGGCTGACTTATCACCAGCAAACGCGTTGCTCTTTCAGCACGGAGACTTCGCTAGCGAACTCGTTTTTTGCGAGATGTTTATGCTGCGTATACCAGTGAGTACCACACTTGTTCTGCTGCTATAGCACCGCTATGGACAATTACTCACTATTAGCTTTCGGTCCTGCTCATACGGAGCTCCTTTGCGCCTGCGACCGCCTTTAGATGCCTTGCTTGCTTCCATGAACTCTCGGCACTCTTCGATGCTGCCAAATCCAAACAGGCCCAGGATAGCCTGTTCGGTGGCTTTTGAATCGCTTAGCTGGGCACCCGCGACTGGCGTTGGAGAATGCAGGGGAGGTGCGGGAGCGTTTCGAGCGGGTGAGGGTGTCAATACGTTAGGCGGAACAAGGTTCGCAGTACTAGTGGTGGGCACCCAGGGTCCCGACGGTGAGTTAGTCATATTGTTAGCTCCGTGTTGCTGGTCTGACGGAATGGTTGGCGAAGCATATCCACTGGGCTGGTGAGGAGGAATTGCGGGTTCTGGTAAGAGAATTGCATAGCAGGCGCTGGTGGCGTGTACATGGGGTTGCCGGCGTATTGCATCTGGAGCTGAGCATGTGCCATGGCAGTTGAGAAGGAGGGATACTGGAGGAGAGTTCGCATAACGGTGAGTCCTATATGCTTGTACGAGCTCTCAATCATACTAACCTGTATCTCGTTCATTCCCTGGAACGGGTTCATCGGGTCAAGCGCCGGACATTGCTGAAGAAATCCTGGCGGAAGGCTAGGAAATGAGACTGCTGCCTGCGTATGGCTAGAGTCAGGGTGGGGCGCGTCTGCCTCTCCTAACGTGGATGCCATTGCGCGCGAGGGGTACGACGGAGGTGAGCTCGTCATTACAGTTGCACTGTCGCAGTATTTGAGCAGCCTGCAGCGGTAAAAAAAGTTCTGGTGAGTGATCATTGTACCTGTAGTTCAAGATCTGGATTGACAGGTGTCCTCAGCCTTTGATTTTTGCGACGACAGCAGCCCTCATCGTAAATCTCGGCTGTGTGGCGTCGATATTGGGTGTAGTACCAGTACTAGTACTACTAGTATTGCTAGTCGGTGAGTGGTTTCACCAGTCCCACTTTGTGCTCAGCCAATCTTACTTACTTGCCTTCTCTCTGATACAGCTTTTGTCCATTCCCTGTGGTAGTACGAGCTGGTAGAGCAAGATCGAGGATGATCATGTCGGTGGCGTTGTTACTGTATTTAGATATTGGATGCACATATACGGATGTTATGTAATCAATCTGATTGTCCGAATCTCGTCGCCCCGTGAACCGTAGGCTATTCTATGCACCACAAGACAGTCAACGTGGCTTACGGTCCCAAGCCCGTGATACCCAATCTATCCCCCACCAAGATGTTTAAGGCGAGAACGTCTCGCCTATGAATCTTCAGGTACAGCTTGGCCAGTAATATCAGGTGTGGATACTTTGAGACATGGGAACGTTCTTGCAGCTATCTACTGGCTAGACAACAAAGGTATCTCAGTCTGCAGATAGTTCGTGACAACTTGGTCATCCAGGCGCCTATCCACAGGTGGGATAAAGTGCAGCAAACGCAGTGAGTCCTAAGGTCAGGGTAGCATAGCAAATCACTCCCAGAGCATATTTTATATGAAAACCCAGACCTTAACCAACCCGGGGCCGTTCCCCCCCCCCCCCGGACCCCCCCTTTATCGATATCCTGTAAACCATACCCTAACCACCTCACCCTAACCCGAACCTTAACCAATCGGGGGGTTCCCGGACCCCCCACTTACCCTAACCTACCCAAACCCAAACTTCCTAACCACCCCTCCGCAGTGCGAAGAAAAAATATACAGGAAGTAGGTAGAACATTGGTACAAACCAAGAAAAAACACAGTCGTAAGGATTTGAACCCAGATCCACGAGCCACAGCCGCAACGCAGACCCGCTAGGCCACACAGCAGACGCTTGTGCAGCCACAAGGGGTTATACATCCAACAGTGCTGACTTGTCTTAGTCAGCAAGCCGTGGGATTGCTTTTTCGAGGGGTCGTATTGCCCAAGACGGACTCAGGGGCGGCGCCAACAAGAGCTACAATAAGTCCAATAATTTTGTTGAGGCTGCTGCTCACGTCAAATACATCCTGCCTGTCAGATCAGGTATCAGGGCATTGTGCTTCTGTGTAGCAGATATAGACACTTACCCTTCAAACTCGGAGGACCGGCTCGCGACATTCGGCACCTACGAACACGTCGACATTAAATTTCG